CTCCCAGCACTTATCTGCAAGGGTTTCTTTAGGTATATACTCCAGAAGCGTTGTTCACAGTTTATATAAATATATATATATATATATATATGTACACAAACACACATGATAGATTTTTATACTATGTATTTACATATAATTATTAAAAGATAACTTTCATGTGTGTTATATATTAATATTTACATACTATATATATGTAATATAAATATATAATTATGTAATTCCAAGAGTGTTTGCCAATTTATACTCCCACCAACCTCAACATATGAGTGACATTGCCTATCTTTTGATTTTTCACCCATCTAAAGAATACACAAATGTTATCTCAATATGTTTTTTTTTTTTTTCTGCAGTACGCGGGCCTCTCACCGTTGTGGCCTCTCCCGTTGCGGAGCACAGGCTCCGGACGCGCAGGCTCAGCGGCCACGGCTCATGGGCCCAGCTGCTCCGCGGCATGTGGGGTCTTCCCGGACCAGGTCACAAACCCGTGTCCCTGCATCGGCAGGCGGACTCTCAACCACTGTGCCACCAGGAAAGCCCTCAATATGGGTTTTTTTTTTTTTTTTAATTTTAACTGAAATGTTCTTTAAATTCTATAGTGCTTTAAAATTTTCAAAAGTTTCACACACAACTTCATGTAATCCCATCATAGCCCTTCTCCCCAACCCTATGTTGCCCCTCCCGCTTCCCTCTCCCCACGGGTAACCACTAGTTTGTTCCCTATATCTGAGTCTGCTGCTTTTTTGTTTTATTCATTAGTTTGTTGTATTTTTTAGATTCCACATATAAATGACATCCTACAGCATTTGTCTTTCTGTCTGACTTATTTCACTTAGCGCAATACCCTCTAAGTCCATCCATGTTGCTGCAAATGGCAAAATTTTATTCTTTTTTATGGCTGAGTAGTCTTCCATTGTGTATATATACCACATCTTTATCCACTCATCTGGTGATGGACACCTGGGTTGCTTCCATACCTTGGCCATCATAAATAATGCTGCTACGAACATTGGGGTGCATGTATCTTTTCAAATTAGTTTTCTCTCAATATGGTTTTCATTTGTATTTTCCTCACATTCTTTCATATATTAGCCACTTATATTATTTCTTCTATGAAATGCCTGTTTATATATTTTGACCATATTCTTTTGTGTTGTTTTTCTCCTACTTGAGTTTTAGGAGTTCTTTGTATAAGCTGCATACTACTCATTTGGTGATTGTATTGAAGCATTTATCCTCTCCATGTTGGACACATGTCTTTTCACTCTTGGTGGTATCTTTTTTGATTAAAATTTCTAAATTTTAACATAGCCAAATTTATTAATCTTTTCCTTAGAGATTGTGCTTTGGTATTTTAAATCCTTGCCTACATCAGAGCCATAAAGATATTCTTTTGTATTTTCTCTTTAAATGTTTATAATTTTACCTCATTTAAGTATCAAATTCAATTGGATTTTTTTTTAATATGAGTAGAGAATCCACTTTCTTCCTTCATGTTTATAACCAATTGTCCTAACACCATTCATTGAATATCCACTCTTCCCATTGATCTGCAATGCCAACTTTGTCATGTATCAAGTTTCCATATACTAATGGGCCTATTTCTGTGTTCTCTATTCTGTTCCATCAGTCTATTTAACTATCTCTGTAATATCCTGCTGTCTAATTATCACAGCTTTATAATAAGTCTTTTTTTAAAATATTTATTTGGCCACGTTGGGTCTTAGTTGTGGCACGCAGGTACCTTTGTTACAACGTGCAGGCTTCTCTCTAGTTGTGGTGCGCGGGCTCCAGAGTGCGCAGGCTCAGTAGTTGCTGCGCAAGGGCTTAGTTGTCCCATGGCATGTGCAATCTTAGTTCCCCGACTAGGGATCGAACCCGCATCCCGTGCACTGGAAGGATTCTTAACCGCTGGACCACCGGGGAAAGTCTTGATAGCTTAAAAGTTAAGGCGAGTTCCTTACCTGCTCCTGTCTTCTTTTCCAAGAGTATTTTGACTCTTCTTAGTTATTTGCTTCCCTCTATAAGTTTAGCTTAAATGTGTGAAGTTCTGTGAAAAACCTTGTTGGGATTTTGAATGAAACTGCATTAAAGCTATATAGATAAATAGCTTACCCATGAACTTCTTATCCATTTGCTTACTTATTTTTAAAATTTTATTACTGTTTTATTAAAGTTTTAAAATGTTTTCTTCATAAAGATCTTATTCATTTATAATTTTCAATGATAGTATAAATGGTATCTTATAAATTGTATTATCTGTTGCTGGTATATAGACATGCAACTGCAAACTTGCTAAACTAGCCTATTAATTGTAATTTACATATTATTTTGTTTTCTACATAATCACAGGCTCTTACTAATGATGGTTTGTTTCTTTTTATATTAAGTATCTATCTGTGCATAATAAATTACATTGACCTTAGTGGCTTAAAAGAACATACACTTATTATCCCCATGTTTCTGTGGGTCACTTAGCTGGGTCCCCTGCTCGGGGTCTCACAAGACTTCAATTAATGTGTCAGCCAGGCTGTGGTCCTTTTTAGAGCTTAGGACCTTCTTCCAAGATCACATGGTTGCTGGCGGAATTCAGTTATTTGAGGCTGTAGAACTGAGGTCCCCATTTTGTTGCTGTCAGCTGGGGGTTGCTCTCAGCTTCTAGTAACTTACCATGTGGCCGATTCACAGGCCTTCTCACGTGGCAGTTTACTATTTCAAAGCCAGTAGCATACTCATCTAGTCACTAAGAGTCCTACATAACAATGTGATCATAAGAATGACTAATTCTGTCACTTTTGCCACAGAACATAATCCAATCAAGGGAATGCCTACACCCATCATCTCTGCCATATTCTATGGATACTTGCTAGAAGCAAGTCTCAGGTTCTGCCTACACTCAATGAGAGGATGTGATTCATTGGAGATTATCTTTGGGTGGTAAGGTAATTAGAATTTCCCATTCTAATAGCTTTATATTTCTTCTTCTTGCTACACTGCACAGTCTAGGCCTCCAGTATAATACTGACAATAAACTGTGGTCTTATCATCTTAAAGGAAATGGTTTAATGATTCACCAGAAAGATGTCTGCTGTTTTTTGTAAATGCCATTTACCAGGTTAAAGAAGTTCTACTTGAAGTTTTCTAGTTTCTTTAAATTATAAATGACTGTTGAATTTTATCAAACTATTTTTTCTATATCCTTTGAGGTGACATATGTATTTTTTCTCCATTGTCAAACCACTCTTGCATTCCTGGGATAAACTAGATTATCAACTTTTCTTTCCTATTTATTGCTGGATTTTGTTATTTTGAATCTTTCAAATGTGTCATGATTGAGATTAATCTTTGTTATTCTAATCTCTTGAAACTGAGTTGGATTTTTTTCCTTCTTTTTCTATGCTTTGGAATAATCTGTAGGATTATTTGCTTTCTGAATATTTTAAACTCTCCCAAGAAATGGTCTGAGCTTATTGTTTTCTTGGAAGATTTTAAAAATAGAGATCCTATTTCTTTAACAGTTATTAAATTATCATTTTTCTTTTAAACTACCCGAAGAGAGCCTCCGGCCCATTTCTTCTTTTCTCTTCTGGAAATCTGATTATACAAATGTTACTTTCTTATACTCATCTTTACCTCTCTTTCATATTTCTTTTCTCTTTGATTCTCTCTGCTGCATGTGGAGAATTTCTTTAGATCTATTTTCCAGTGTCTAATCTGTTGTTAAATTAAACTAGAACTAGATCCCACAGGCCACAATTAAGACCCAGCACAGCCCAATAAATAAAAATTTTAAAAACCCCTTCACTAATTTTTTTCTTCAGATCTGTTAGGTCACTTTTATAGTCTGCTCTATACTTCATTCTAAGTTACACATAGTTTTAGATTCTGAATATAAGCCCAATATTTAAAGGCTCTGTGAGTCTGATTCTGTTGTCTATTGTTTCTGCTGGTGTACATTCATGGTGCTTTCTTATGTGTTTTGTAATTTGAAGACTGGGTTTATGGTGAGTTCCTTCACATACAATTTTTGTTTGCTTGTGCCAGAGCCTGAACACTACTAGCCTGAGGCCACTGTAAACTAAATTCTTAATTTGAGGTTGTTTTTGTTTTTTTTTTAAAGAATCCTCAGTCCTTTCAGTTGTATGAATCTGAGTCACGTTGCTATACACCATAATAGAAATTAGTTCTGGGCTTCCCTGGTGGCGCAGCGGTTAAGAATCCACCTGCCAATGCAGGGGACACAGGTTTGAGTCCTGGTCCAGGAAGATCCCACATGCTGTGGAGCAACTAAGCCCGTGCGCCACAACTACTGAGCCCGTGCACCACAACTACTGAAGCCTGCACGCCTAGAGCCCGTGCTCTGCAACGAGAAGCCACCGCAATGAGAAGCCCGTGCATCACAACGAAGAGTAGCCCCTGCTCGCCACCAATAGAGAAAGCCCGGGCGCAGCAATGAAGACCCAACGCAGCCAAAAATAACAAACAAATAAATAAATTTAAATTAAAAAAGGAAATTAGTTCTGATTTTGGCATGATGACCTAAAATTCTAGAAGTGATTAGTATAAGCCCTTTATTTCTATAAGGTTACTTCACTATAGTGACCCAGACCTAGGTAAGGGTAGTTAATTTACTGTGAAAATATAAATATGTATATATGTAAATATAAAAACTACATGTATATGTAAATATAATCTATGCATATAAATTTGTCTGTAAATCCTCTCAACTGTTATAGTCCTCTGATGACATCACATGTATGGCGACTTATATTTCAAAGAAGTATGGTCACTGAATGAAAAGAAAAAGGTTACAGGAAGTCGTCTTAAACTTACTAGTAATTCTAAGATACTCTTTTTGTTTAGAATTACTAGTTGAATCCATAAAAGCTGGTAACTTTTTTCCATGCAGGAATATTTTTCAGTTACCACTGTATATATACTTTTAAACAATTTAACATTTATACCATTCAAATCAGATGCAATCATGAACACAATATAGGAAAACTTCTAGTAAAATTATTTAATTATAATACGAATCTCCAACAGCTTGAAATAAGAATTTCCATGATCTTCAATTGAACTGTATGCCACTTTCTTTTAGAATGTCCCGTTTTTCATTAAAATAGTTCCTAAACCACTCTATATGTTCAACCTTCTGTTTAACACTCAGGTACGGGTTTTTGGAAAGGCCACAGGTCACCAACTCCATGAAGTGGCGAATTGGTCCTTGTTTTGGAAAATCCTCCAGGTATTTATCCAGAAATATATGTTCATGAAATTCTGAACCATCATCATCAAAACCTAGGAAATGAGACAAAATACGTTACAATTTTGAATGTAAATCCTACACTATAAAATTAACATTAATGAGGTAGTACAGTATTACAGTAAAGGCATGAAATTGGAGTAAAACAGAGGTTCGCTCACCAATTTAACAGCCATGTGATTGGGCAAATTAACTTCACTGAGCAACAGTTTCCTCAGGCATAAAATGAGTATTAAGACAGCGCCTTCTTCATGGGGTTTTATAAAGTTAAATAGACATAAATCTTATAAAGTTAAATAGACATAAATTTAACCATAAAGTTAAATAGACAAAGTTAAATAGACATAAATAACTCCTTTACAATGCTTAGCATACTACAAATATTCAAAATGTAGCAGCAATTACTACTAATGGATATTTTAATATCTAAAGAAACCACTAAGAAAACTATACAAACTACACTAAAGAAATACATAAAGCAAAATAAGATGGAATCCTAAGATATATTCAAGCAGCTCACAGGAAGCCAAGAAAAGACAGAGGAGTGAGAAACAGAGAAAATGAACAGAAAACAAATAACAAAATGAGACTTAAATCCTAACAAATAATTACTTTAAATGTGAATGTTTAAATATACCATCAAAAGAAAAACACGATCCAACTATAAGCTATATACAAGAAACTCACTTCAAATATTTACCTATAACATAGGTAGGTTGAAAGTAAAAGGATGGAGGTGGACATGTCTTGCTAACATTAATTTTTTAAAAAAGAATGCATGAGTGGCCATAGGAATATCAAAGTAGACTTCAGAGCAAAGAAAATTACTAGAGAGAAAGAGGAACATTACATCATAAAAGGATCAACCCACCAAGAAGACAAAGCAATCTTAATTATGTGTGCACCAAGGAGTTTCTAAATACGTGAAAGAAAAGTTGATAGAAATTAAGTAGAAATTTAACAATCCACAATTACAGTTGGAGGTTTCAATACCCCACTGTCAACAACTCCAAGAACTACCAAGTAGAAAATTAGCAGAGACACAGAAGACATAGAAGAACTGAACATCAACCAACAGGATCACACTGACATCTACAGAACACTCTTCCAGACTACTGCAGAATACAAATTCTTTTCAAGTATCCATGGAACATTCACTTAGTTTAACCATATCCTGGGTCACAAAACAAATGTCAACATATTTAAAATAACTGAAATAATATACAGTATGTTCTCTGATCATAAAGGAATCAAAACAGAAATCGGTAACAGGAAGACAATAGGAAAATCTTCAGACAGTTGGAAATTAATGTAAGTAATTCATGGTCATAAAGGAAATCTCAAAAGAAATAATATTTATTTGGATTGAGGGTCTTTAGCTGCGGCAGGCGGGCTCCTTAGTTGTGGCATGCATGTGGGATCTAGTTCCCTGACCAGGGATTGAACCTGGGCCCCCTGCATCGGGAGTGTGGAGTCTTAACCACTGTGCCACGAGGGAAGTCCCTCAAAAGAAATTTTAAAAAACACAAAGAATCGAATGAAAATACAACAAATCAAAATTTGTGGGACACAGCTAAAACAGTGCTGAGAGGGAAATATATAGCACTGAATGCACACATAAGAGAAGTCTCAAATCAATAATCTAAGCTCCCACTTTAAGAACCTAGTAAAAGAAGAGCAAAATAACCCCAAAGCAAACAAAAGGAAGGAAATAATAAAGATAACATCAGAAATCAATAAAATTGAAAACAAGAAAATAGAGAAAAATCAATGAAACCAATACCTGGTTCTTTACACACAAACACACACACAAAACAAAAAAACAAAAATTGATACATTTCTAGCAAGTCTGATAAAGAAAAAAAAGAAGGCACACACCAACAATATTAACAATGAAAAGGGGGGTATCATTATAAATCCTGAAATCATTAAAGGGATAATAAAGGAATACTCCAAACAACCTTACACTCACAAATTCAACAACTTGAAAAAAACGGACAACTTTAAAAAAATCCATTGAACTACCAAAACTCAACCAAAATAAAAGATAACCTGAATAATCTTATAACTATTAAAGGAAAGAAATATGTAATTTAAAAGCTCTCAAACATTTAAAGAAAAACTAACACCAATTTTACACAATCTCTTCCAGAAACTAGAAGACAGGATACTTCCTAACACATTTTATGAGACCAGCATTACCTTGTTAAAAAAACAAAGACAAAACAACCACCAAAAACAGGAGCAAGAGAGAGAGAGAACTACAAAACAATTTCTCTAATAAACTTAGAGGAAAAACCTTTAAACAAAATTAGCAGACAAATCCAACAATGTATAAAAAGATTTATACACCAAGATCAAGTGGGATTTACGCAGGTAGGATTTTACTGCAAGGCTGGTTCAACATCTGAAAATCAAGGTAATCTACCATATCAACAGGATAAAGAAGAAAAATCGTATGACCCAACACTCACTTTGACAAATATTCTCAGCAAATTAGGAAAAGAGAAGGACTACATCAACATGGTAAACCTAGAGCTAATATCATAGTGAAAGACTGAAGGCTTCTCCCCTAAGTTCCTGAACAAGGCAAGGAGATCAGCGCTCACTACTCTTACTCAACATAGTACTGAAATTTCCAGCCACTGATGAGGGAGGCAGAAAGAAAAGTCACGTAGATGGGAAAGGAAGACATAAAACTATTTGTAGACGACATGACTGTCTACATAGAAAATTCCAAGGAATCTACAAAAAAACTCCTAGAACTAATTAGTGAGTTCAGTAAGGTTACAGGATACAAGATCATAAAAATAAAAATCACTATTTAAATTGGAAGACTCAACATAGTAAAGATGTCATTTCTCTCCAAACTGATCTACAGGTTTAATGTACTTTCTACCAAAATTCCAGCGAAGTTTTGCCACAGACAAGCTTATTCTAAAATTTATATGGAAAGGCTTAAGTCCTAGAAGAGTTAAAACCATCTTGAAAGAGAAGAATAAAGTGGGAGGAATAATGCTAGGGCTGACTCTACAGCTACAGGACAGGCATGCCTCGTCTCACTGCACTCTGCTTTATTGTGCTTCACAGATATTGCCTTTTTTTTTTTTTGTACAAATTAAAGGTTTGTGGCAACCCTTTGTCAAGCAAGTATGTCTACACCATTTTTTCCAATGGCACTTGCCTACTTCCATGTCTCTGTCACATTTTGGTAATTCTCACAATGTTTCGAACTTTTTTCATTATTATTATATTTGTTATGCTGATCTGTGATTGGTGATCTTTGCTGAAGGCTCGGATGATGGTAAGCATTTTTTAGCAATAAAGTATTTTTTAATTAAGGTTATGTACTGTACTTTTTTTAGACATAATGTTATTGCACACTTAATAGAATACAGTGTAGTGTAAACATAATTTTTATATGCACTGGGAAACCAAAAGATGCATGTGACTTGCTTTATTACAATCTTTGCTTTATTGCAATGGTCTGGAAACACACCTGCAATATCTAAGGTATGCCTGTAATCAAAAGAGTATGGTATTCACAGGGAACTCAATACTATGTAATGACCTATATGGAAAAAAAAATCTAAAGAATAGTAGATAACTGTATAACTAACTCACTTTGCTGTACATCTGAAACTAACACAACATTGTAAATCAACTATATGCCAATAAAAATTTTTAAAAAATAGAGTATGGTATTGGCAGGCAGTAAGACACAAAGGTTGATGGAACAAAAATCAAGGACCCAGAAATAGACCCTGTTATAGACTGCCAACACATGGATCTTGGACTTCCAGCCTGCAGACTTTGAGAAAGTAAATTCTGTTGTTTAAGGTACCTAGGTCTGTGATATTTTGTTATAGAAGTCTTAGCAGACTAACACAGATCCACATGAATATGCCCAACTTTTTACAAAGATGCATAGACAATTCAATGGAGAAAGGACAGCCTTTTCAACAAATGGTGCCAGAAGAATTGAAAAAGAACCTCAACCTCATACAAATTAACAAAGAATGGATCACGGTCTAAACTATATATCTAAGAAAAAGAAACAGGAAAATCTTCTGGTTCTAGGGCTGGCAAAGAACTTGACACCAACAGCACAATCCATAAAAGGAAAAATTGGACCCCCATCAAAATTGAAGACTTTTGGTCTGTGAAAGAATCTGTTAAAAGGATACAAAGACGGGCTCCCCTGGTGGCGCAGTGGTTGAGAGTCCGCTTGCCGATGCAGGGCACACGGGTTCGTGCCCCGGTCCGGGAGGATCCCACATGCCGCGGGGCGGCTGGGCCCGTGAGCCATAGCCGCTGAGCCTGCGCGTCCAGAGCCTGTGCTCCGCAACGGGAGAGGCCACAACAGTGAGAGGCCCGCGTACCGCAAAAAAAACAAAAACAAAAACAAAAACAAAAACTAAACATGTAACTACCATACTACCCAGCAACTGCACTCCTGAGTATTTATTCCAGGGGAATGGAAATTTGTATTCATACAGAAACCTGTACATGAATATTTACAGCACCTTTATTGTAATAGCCCAAAACTGGTAACAGCCCAGATGTCTTTTATCAGGGGAATGGTTAAACAAACTATAAGGTACATTCAAACCATGGAATATTAGTCATCAATAAAAACAACAACAGCAAAAAACCCCTACTGACACACATAACAACTTGGATACATCTCCAGAGAATTAATCATGCTGAGTGGGAAAAAAAAAGCCAATCCCCGAAGGTTACATACTGTGTGATTCCATTTGTACGTCTTTCTTGAAGTGACAAAATTGTAGAAATGGAAAATGGATTTAGTAAGATTGCCAAGGATCAGGGACTAAGAAAGGACAGCAGTGGGAGGTGAGTGGATGTCGTTATGAAAGAGTATAAGAGAGATCCTTGAGGCGACAGAACTGTTCTGTATCCTGACTGTGGTCGTGATTACATGAATCTACATGTGACAAAACTGCACAGAACTAAGCACACAAACACACACAAAGGAGTACATGTAGAACTGGTGACATCTGAATGCGGCTGA